TACTTTGCAAAAAGGGGTCATTTGGGGGATATCTGTACTGTTCTGACATTCTTGGACCTCAAGAAATTAGATTGGCTGTCAGTACTTCAGGATTGATCAATATTCAGATCTATACCATAGTTTGTGAACTCTATAACTTTCCTAGAAACTAAAAATACATCCTAATATGGGTTATTTTCACCAAAGACATGTAGCAGAATACATCTTGGCCTAAATTTATGAAGAACAATTATTTATTTGCAAACTTTTATAACAGAAACAAAGAAAAACTTGTTTTTTTCAAAATTGGCAGTCTTTTTGTTAATTTAGCAAAAAATAAAAACCCCAGCGGTGATTAAATACCACCAAAAGAAAGCTCTAGTTGTGTGAAGAAAATGATAAAATTTTAGTTTGGGTACAATGTTGTATGACCGTGCAATTGTCATTCAAATTGTGAGAGCGCTGAAACCTGAAAACTGGCCTGAACAGGAAAGGTGTAAAATTGCCCGGTATTGAATTGGTTAAATAATGTACGGCTGCATGCACACAGGCTTATTAAAATAATCCCATTTATGGTGGATCTTTCTGCTTGGCAGAAAGATTCAGCGTAAAAAATGCTCGGTCAAACGCGTATTTACACACATTCATGTATGTATATGTGCACGTAAATGCATTCTAATGGCTAGAATATTTATTTGTTCAAGCCACTAGACTGAAATTACGTGCATATGCACACATATGTATAAAACATGCCAGTACGCTTCACTCTAAAAGCAGGTTAGGGGCATTTTTATGCCTCTAAACAGTGCTCTAAAATCTAAACGAGAGCTAGAAAAAAAGAAAAATACTTCTAAAAGCTGCATTTGTTTCTGCCCATGTGCTTGAGGCCTAATTAATATTTCTTGATTGTACAGTACAAGCCACAAGCATATTCTTAGATGACTGGGTTATATGCTGTTGCCTTCAAGGGACTGGACACAGAACTTTAAGGACTCCCGTATAACCAGTCTACTGACCTCTCTTTTCCCTCTAGTGATTTTTTAATGTTTTCTGTTCCAACTTGCCAACATACCAGCCCTTGTGGCTATTTATGCAGCTTCCAGATCAATACCCTATGCACTCCACTGGGACCGTACCAATGATGGAAAATGTGGGACCAGCCTGTAAAATTGCTTCGGGCACTGGGTCCTGCCATAGGTGCTCCTCCTTGGCACAGCATTTTTTTTTTTTTAAAAGTGAAATTATTACTGCCCTTTTTAAACTAAGAGGAAGGGAAGTCTTGGGGAACCTTTGAGGCACGTCAGTTGTTCTGACTTTTTGTCTAGCAACTCTCACTGTCTTCCCTCATGACATGGCTTTTTTTCTTATTCCTGCCTGTGCTGGCTCTCAGCTAAGCCTACACTGCCTCTTTCTCTTTACCTCGTACAGTGGATATAAAAAGTCTACACACCCCTGTTAAAATGTCAGATTTCTGTGATGTAAACAAATGAGACAAAGATAAATCATTTGTGAACTTTTCTACCTTTAATGTGACCTATAAACTGTACCTGACATTTTAACGGGTGTGTAGACTTTTTATATCCACGGTATCTGATTCCTGTAATATACATCATTTCAAGAGGATTTAAGTGCTGCTGTGATCACTGTATTTTGCAGCTTGTTGTTTTAATTCCCCAGGAGGGCACATTACTACCATGGGATACCATTTTAACTTATTCAGGGCAGTTTTATCCCTCCCCTTCCCATACTACTGTGAGTACCCTTAGAAGCGTATTCTCTTCAAAAATTCGAGGCCAATACCAATAACAGAATGGATGTTAGGGGAAAAGGTTTTGCCAATGAGTCCATGATCCCTTCTCCCGCTAATGACCCTTCTTTGGACAGCTGAAACATTTAACTTCCTTCTGCCCTTCCTTCCTTTTCAAAACAGACACTTTCCATTTCTCCTGTTTGAGCAAAACAAAGGTTTGTATGCAAAAAAATTTTTTTTTTCCTTGCCACGTTTCATAAAAGTTGGGATGGAAGTTTATTTGAAGCTGTATAGGGGCCACAATTTGATATGGGAAGAATAATTAGTGGATTTAACGATTTTTTTTGACTGCCTCATTTGATTAATGGGTCCATGTTATAAGGTAAGCTTATTACGGTAGGTGGAGTCTTTGGGGAGAGGATTACTGAGTTTGACCATTCCATCTTCTGTCCTGGACTGTCTGTGCTCAAAAACACTGATTATATCACATTTATTTGTGAACACTATGGATGTTATTTCACTCTTTCATTAAACCACTTTACAATATATTTTGTGACCTTCATTTATTTGTCATAAAATTGATGGTTTTGCTAGATGTATTCAGTCATTATTTTTTTGACACCGTTAACACTTTCTGAAAATATATAAGAGGGGTCTTCAAATAGTTTCTGCACTAAATAGAGTTAAAAAAATGTAAACATTTTGAAGAACCTATATATAAACATATTTCTTTTTTCTCTGAGAATAGGTGCAGAAACTGAACCAAAACCCCATTTGCACCTGCATCTCCCTTGTCCCAATCCTGTGCTCAGTAGGAGCTGCTCAGGAGATCAGATCTGTGAAAGCTGTTGTGAGATAAGTTGTCACTTGTAAAGACAGAAGCCTGACTTCCGTGTTTACAAGTGATAGTGGTGAGCAGCGAGGCAGAAGTGGTGAAACTGAGTTCCACCAAGCTCCAACTGAAAGAAAAGCCCTGTGTATGTGTGTGTATGTCTCTATATGTGTATATACAGTATATATATATATATATATATATATATATATATATATATACAGTTAGGTCCACATATATTTGGCCACAGGCACAATTTTAGTTTTTTTCAGGTATTTACCAAAACATTTTCAAGCTATAGTAATATAATGGATATGGGCTGAAGTGCACACTCTCAGGTTTAATTTGAGGGTATGTACATCCAAATTGAAGGAAGGGTATAGGAATTACAGCTCTTAAAAGTAGCTATCCCCCTTTTTCAAGGGACCAAACGTAATTGGACAATTGAATCAAAAGCTGTTTCATGGCCAGGTGTGGGCCACTCCGTTATTTCTTCATCAATTGAGCAGGTAAAAGTTCTGGAGATTATTCTAAGTGTGGTATTTGCATTTGGAATCTATTGCTGTGAATCTACATCGTTCTAAGGAGCTGTCCATGCAAGTGAAACAGGCCATTGTAAGGCTTCAAAATTAAACAAACCCATCAGAGAGATAGCAGCAGCATTAGGAGTGGCCAAATCAACAGTTTGGTACATTCTGAGGAAAGAAGAACGCACCGGTGAGCTCAGCAACATAAAAAGGCATGGATGTCCACGGAAGACAACAGTGGTGATCTCAGGATCCCCTCTATGGTAAAGAAAAACCCATTCACAACATCCAGGCAAGTGAAGGACACTGTCCAGGAAGTGGGCGTATCATTGTCAAAGTCTACAATCAAGAGAAGACTTCACGAGAGCAAATACAGAGGGTTCACCACAAGATCCAAACCATTCATAAGCCTGAAGAATAGAAAATCCAGATTAGACTTTGCCAAAAAAACATCTAAAAAAGCCAGACCAGTTCTGGAAAAGCATTCTTTGGATGGATGAAACTAAGATTAATCTGTACCAGAATGATGGGAATAAAAAAAGTGTGGGGAAGGCTTTGAACTGCTCATGATCCAAAGCACACAATGTCATCTGTAAAATATGGTGGAGGCAGTGTGATGGCATGGGCATGCATGGCTTCCAGTGGCACTGGGTCATTGGTGTTTATTGAAGATATGACAGAAGACAGAAGCAGCCGGATGAATTCTGCAATGTTTAGAGATATACTGTCAGCCCAGATTCAGCCAAATGCAGCAAAGTTGATTGGACAGCGCTTCACAGTACAAATGGACAGTGATCCAAAACACACTGCAAAAGCAACCCAGGAGCTTTTGAAGGAAAATAAGTGGATTATTCTGCACATGGACGAGTCAATCTCCTGATCTAAACTCCATTGAGCATGTATTTCAATTACTGAAGGCAAACCTAGAGGCAGAAAGACCCACAAACAAAGAACAACTGAAGACAGCTGCAGTTATAGCCTGGCAAAGCATCAGAAAGGAGGAAACCCAGTCTTTGGTAATGTCCTCTACAGCAGGCGGTCTACAGTATTTATTGCCAGACTTCAGGCAGTCATTACTGGTAAAGGATTCTCAACAAAATAGGGGGGGTGGCTACTCTCAAAAGCTGTAATTCCTAAACCCTTCCTTCAATTTGGATGTACATACCCTCAAATTAAACCTGAGAGTGTGCACATTCAGCCCATATCCATTATATAACTATAGTTTGACTATGTTTTGGTAAATACCTGAAAAAAACTAAAATTGTGCCTGTGTCCAAATATATATGGACCTAACTGTGTGTGTGTGTGTATATATATATATATATATACATATACATACATACACACTATATTGGCAAAAGTATTGGGACGCTTGCCTTTACACGCACATAAACTTTAATGGCATCCCAGTCTTAGTCCGTAGGGTTCAATATTGAGTTGGCTCACCCTTTGCAGCTATAACAGCTTCCACTCTTCTGGGAAGGCTGTCCACAAGGTGTGTGTCTATGGGAATGTTTGACCATTCTTCCAGAAGCTCATTTATGAGGTCAGGCACTGATGTCGGGTGAGAAGGCTTGGCTCGCAGTCTGTGCTCTAATTCATCCCAAAGGTGTTCTATCGGGTTGAGGTCAGGACTGTGTGCAGGCCAGTCAATTTCTTCCACCCCAAACTCACTCATCCATGTCTTTTATGTACTTTGCTTTGTGCACTGGTGTGCAGTCATGTTGTAACAGGAAGGGGCCTTCCCCAAACTGTTTCCACAAAGTTGGGAGCTGAAATTGCCCAAAATGTCTTGATATGCTGATGCCTTAAAAGTTCCCTTCACTGGAATTAAGGGGCCAAGCCCAACCCCTGAAAAACAACCCCCCCACCACCCCACCATAATCCCACCATAATCCCCCCTCCAACAAACTTTACACTTGACACAATGCAGTCGTGCAAGTACCTTACTGATGCAAGGCTTGGATGCAGCTTCTTGGTCATGGAAACCCATTCCATGAAGCTTTCTACGCATTGTTGTGCTAATCTGAAGGCCACATGAAGTTTGGAGGTCTTTAGCTATTGACTCTGCAGACAGTTGGCGACTTCTGTGCACTGTGCTCATCAGCATGCGCTGACCCCGCTCTGTCATTTTATGTGGCCTACCACTTCGTGGCTGAGTTGTTGTTGCTCCCAGTTGCTTCCACTTTGTTATAATATTGCTAACGGTTGACTGTGAAATATTTAGCAGCAAGGAAATTTCTCGGATGGACTTATTGCACAGGTGCAACCTGTCACTGTATCACCTGTCACTGAGGTCCTGGCAGCGACCCATTCTTTCACAAATGTTTGTAGTAGCAGTCTGCATGCCTAGGTGCTTGATTTTATACACCTGTGGCCATGGAGGTGTTTAGAACACCTGAATCCAATGATTTGGAGGGGTGTCCCAATACATTTGGCAATATAATGTGTATACACTGCTCAAAAAAATTAAAGGAACACTTTTTAATCAAAGTATAGCATCAAGTTAAATAAACTCATGGGATATTGATCTGTTTAGTTAAGTATCAGAGGGGTTTTTTAATCAGTTTCAGCTGCTTTGGTGTTAATGAAATTAACAACAGGAGCACTAGATGAGCAACAGACGATCCCCAAAACAGGAATAGTTTTACAGGTGGAGGCCACTGACATTTTTTTCCCCTACTCATCTTTTCTGTTTTTCACTAGTTTTGCATTTGGCTAGGGTCCGTGTCACTACTGGTAGCATGAGGCGATACCTGGACCCTACAGAGGTTGCACAGGCAGTCCAATTCCTCCAGGATGGCACATCAATACATGCCATTGCCATAAGTCTCAAGAGCATGGATGAGATTCGAGGAGACAGGCATTTACTCTACTCTAGGAGAGCTGGACAGGGCCGTAGAAGGTCCTTAACCCATCAGCAGGACCGGTATCTTTTCCTTTGTGCAAGGAGGAGCAGGATGAGCACTGCCAGAGCCCTACAAAATTACCTCCAGCAGGCCACTGGTGTGAATGTCTCTGACCAATCAGAAACAGACTTCATGAGGGTTGCCTGAGGGCCCAACGTCCTCTAGTGGCCCTGTGCTCACTGGCCGGCACCATAGAGCTCGATTGGAATTTGCCATTGAACAGAACTGGCAGGGCTGCCATTGGCGCCCTGTACTTTTGACAGATGAGAGCAGGTTCACCTTGAACACATGTGACTGACATGAAAGGGTCTGGAGAAGTCATGGAGAACATTATGCTGCCTGTAACATTGTTCAGCATGACCGTTTTGGTGGTAGGTCAGTGATGGTCTGAGGAGGCATATCCAAAGAGGGACGCACAGACCTCTACAGGCTAGACAATGGCACCCTGACTGCCATTATGTATCGAGATGAAATTCTTGGACCGATTGTCAAACCCTACGCTGGTACAGTGGGTCCTGAGTTCCTCTTGGTGAACGACAATGCCTGGCCTCATGTGGCGAGAGTATGCAGGCAGTGCCTGGAGGATAAAGGAATTAATACCATCGAATGGCCCCCATACTCGCCTGACCTAAATCCAATAGAACACTTCTGAGATATTATGTTTTGGTCCATCCGACTCTACCAGGTTGCACCTCAGGCTGTCCAGGAGCTCACTGATGCCTTGGTCCAGATCTGGGAAGAAATACCCCAGGACACCATCCTTCGTCTCATTAGGAGCATGTCCAGATGTTGTTAGGCATGCATACAAGCATGTGGAGGCCATACAAATTCAGTCCTCTGTAGGTTGCTAATTTTAATTTCCATCAAATGATGGGGCATCCTTACGTTCCTAACACATTACCCAGTCCATTTCCCCATTGAGATCTGTTGTGTTTTCAAAGTGTGCCTTTAATTCTTTTGAGTAGCGTTTTATGTGTGTGTGTGTATATATATATATATATATATATAATATATATATATATATATATATATATATATATATATATAATCACTCACACTTTATATACACTGTATATACACTCATGTTATATGTTTAATTTGCATATTTTTTTTGGCACCCAAGAATATAACTTTTATCAATACTGAACCTCACCTGCCATGTAGCTGCCTCAGTTTTGTTAACGTCTTCCTGTAATGATGCTATGTCCTGTGCTGAAGGTTTTTCACTGCATAATTTGATATCATCAGCAAGCACTGAAACTGAATTCTTCATTCTAACATCCTCATAATTAAACAATATGAACAGCATTGGCAAGACAGAAACATGGAGCACACTACTCACAACTTTAAACACCCTTTTAATCAATGGGTGAGGGGGGATAGGAAGGGAAAGAGCATGTGACCAATACTCCTGCACTGTATGAGATGGCAGTTTCAGCAGAGCCTTGAAGATCAAAGCTAATAATAAATCTGTCATGATGACAACTAAGATTTTTAGCATCCCCATAAACCCTCTGGAAAATCCTTTGGTATTATAATACAGCTTTAGGCTGAATTCACACTGTGTGCGGTGACAGGCATTTTACTGCATTGTTTCCTATGTTTCCCATTTTCACTGCAACACAGCCTACTGCTATAAAATGTAGACACGCTGTATTTTATTGCAGTGCATTGAACCGAATCTCATGAAACTGTACGGCAGCACAGTGCATCATGCTGTTGTAGAGCGCCATGAATGAAGTCTACGTTTTGCACACTTCAAATAAAGTTTGCTTTATAAAAGGGAGCCTTGTAATGCACTGAATCTCACACCACACTGCCCCCTACCGCAGCTGGTAATGGACAGCTACTGAAGTGGTAAAGTCCTTTGGCAGCTGTCCATTGTAGTGTGAACTTAGCCTTAGAGCTAACAAAGCTGGACCAATCTAAATTTAAAAAACAAACAAACATTTTTTTTCTCTTTTGTTCATAGAAGGACACAGCGTCTTCCATTCTCGACAATAGGCTTATATCGCCACCTACAGGAGTAGGACACTAGGCATAAAATAAGAAACTCTGCACTACCTTATGGTTAGTCCTGGCTGATATAACCCCCTCTCTGCATAGGCAATCCCTTTTTTCTGCCTAGTGTTCAGGAGTAGTGACCTTGCTCCCATCTGGGACCTGTGGTTTCATAGGATTTCTTCCCTTGCATTGGACGGTGGTCACGATGGACGCCAGCCTATTCAGCTGGGGAGGTGTGCTGGGGCAAGCTCAGCCCAGGGTCAGTAGGTACCGGAGGAGTCCCGGTTACCGATCAATGTCTTGGAGCTTTGGGCTCTGCCTGGAACTGTGGACGGAATGTCTTTGGAGGCACCTGAACCAGATCCTGTCGGACAATACCATGGCAGTGGCCTATGCCAACCACCAGGGGGGGGACACGGAGTGTAACGGCATTGCTGGAGGTCTCCCGCATTCTCAGGTGGGCAGTGCATCATGTACCAGCTCTTCCTGTCGTTCACATGCCTGGCCTGGAAAATGCCAGGCGGACTACCTCAGCCGTCAAATGTTGGATCAAGGCGAGTGGTTCCTGCATCCAGACGTGTTTCATCAGATTTGCCTCCGGTGCGGCACTCCAGACGTTGATCTCCTGGTGTCTCAGTTCAACAAGAAGGTGCAGTGGTTTATAGACAGGATGAGGGATCTGCTTGCGGATGCAATGGATGCCCTGGTGGCGTCATAGAGACAGTATTGTTTCCTCCTCTCAAGCTTCTACCCCAGCTACTGTGAAGCATAGAGGCCGAAGGTATTCCAGTCATCTTGGTGGCTCCGGATTGGTCTCGCCACCCTTTTTATGCCAACATGGTGCAGCTGGTCATGGATGTTCCTTGGTGTCTGCCACTCAGGGCAGATCTTCTGTCTCAAGGTTTGATCTTCCACCCTGCTTTACGGCCACTGGCTTTACCAGCTTGGCTATTGAAAGCCAGATTCTGAGTCGGTGATTCCTATCATGCTGAAGGCACGAAAGTCTACTTCTAGATAGATATAGCATCTCACCATAGCATATATTTCCTGGCTAGACTTTTGTCTTTTCTTCAACAAGGTGTTGAGAAGATGCTGGCGCTGAGTACCATCAAGGGCCAGGTTTCGATTCTGGCCGTTTTCTTTCAACGTCCTCTAACTTCGCACTCTTTGATCCGTAATTTCGTTTAAGGAGTTAGGCATGTGGCACCTCCTGTGCGCTCCCTGTTGTCGCCATGGGATCTTAATCTGGTTCTCTCTGTTCTCCAAAAGCCTCCTTTTGAGAATATCATGGAGCTTCCCTTGCTAACATTTCCGCCCGCAGAGTGTCGGAGTTGGCAGCCTTGTCTTGTAGGTCTCCTTATTTGGTGGTGCAAAAAGATAAGGTGGTTCTCTGTCTGTGTCCTTCCTTTCTCTCAAAAGGTGGTTTCTGACTTTAATTTAAACAAGGACACTGTCCTACTATCCTTATGTCCTTGCCCGTCGCATCCTAAGGAGGTCACTCTGCATGCTTAGATGTGGTTTGAGCAATTCAAGTGTAGTTGTCTTACAGAATCCTTTCAAAGGTTGGATCCCCTTTTTGTGATCACAAATGGGCCAAGGAGAGGTGTGACAGCGTCTTCTGCTACCATTTCTAGATGGATTTGGCAGACCGTGGTTCAGGCTTACTCCTTTAAGGGTCAGATTCCTCCTTTTCCCAAAATGGCACACTCTACCCGGGCGCTTAGTGCCTCATGGACCTTCCTCTATCAGGTGTCTGTGTCTCAAATCTGCAAGGTAGCTACATGGTCATCTGTGCACACCTTTCCAAAATTTTACAAGCTGGATGTCTTGGCATCTTCAGATGCATATTTTGGCAAAGTATTGCAGGCAACTGTTTGAGGTTTCTGTTCTCTCTTTGTGGGGTTGTTTTCTGGTTGGGATCTTGTGTTCCTGTTGAGCTCCTGGTGGCCTGCTTTTGGCCTTGGTTTTTCCCACCCCTCACTGTTTGGCACTGTTTTGGGACATCCCTATGGTCGAGAATGGAAGATGCTGTGTCCGTCAATGAACGAAACAGAAAACAGGATTTATTTGTTACTTACCGTAAAATCCCTTTCTCAGAGTTTATTGATGGACACAGCACCCACCCCTCTGGATTGCCTATGCAGAGAGGGGGTTTATATCAGCCAGGACTGCCCATAGGCGGTGCCGGGTTTCTTTTTTTCTGCCTAGTGTCCTACTTCTGTAGGTGGCGATATAACCCTATGGTTGAGAATGGAAGACGCTGTGTCCCTCAGTAAACTCAGAGAAAGGTATTTTATGGTGAGTAATAAAAAATCCCATTTTCTTGGAGTTTGACTTTAATAGTTTTAATGGCCAAGCCATCTGATAACATGTGAAAGGTTATCCTGTACCTGGTTTATTTTTATGCATGTTGTGAATCCCACCTTTAGCAACT